CGTGGAATCCGTTGGGGACCAACACGACCTCTCATCTTGAGAATTTGTACATCCCTTACTAGTGTACGAACAACTATATCTCGAGCACATAGTTAGGTTTGGCCTCAATGGGAAAATAAAATTGAGCACCTAACAATGCATCATCACATACGAAGAACTACAATTTTGGGGGTGACAGAGGGACCATACATTCGAGCCGTTTAGTTATTCATTAAAAATCAAAATGGGAGTAGGTTTGAAAAAGGATCTTAGAATGTCTTGGGTTTGTTCAGGAGGGTCTCTTAACGCCTTTTTTTTTCTTCTCATCGGAGCTATTTCGCAAAGACTTGCCAAGGTAAGGAAGAAGGGGAAAGAAGCACACTTGTGTCTTCATGTATAATTGCTAGTACCACCAATTAATTGCATTCTTTCTTTTGATAATCCTTAAACATAAGCTTATTTTCATACACTTTTTTCTTAGACTTCTGAATCACTTGGATGGTATACATATTATACTCACAATTTAAAATGCTAGTTTGATTATTTGAAGAAATTAAACTTTAACTAGTGTACCTTATTCCATGATTTGCCTAGGATGTCATGCGATATAATTTCACTGGCAATAAAATGATTTAAATAAGAAATTTGAAATCTATATTATGATTATTGGTCAAAGTTTTTTGTGGGCTGAAACTAATATTTTTTATAATTCTTATGTTCATCTTTTTCTTTGTTCTATAGGAAAATTTTCTGACCTAGCTACTTCTTCATTATGTGGTTTATAGCTTTTTGGCTTCCATGATTGACGCTTCTGATTTCTTAACTTAAATCTCAAAATAATCACCAAAAATAAGGGAGAGAGAGAACGTTTACCCTAAAAGATGTGTGCATTGATTTGGAGTTTAATAGTTTTCGATTATTACTATTCTTGGCTTTAGTTAGTCAATTTTAATTTGAATATTCTAATGTCATACATACATAAGAAACTTAAAATAGAGGATGTCACTGTTTGTGAATGAAAATATAGTGTCAATGATCATGAAACTGCTTGTGGTGAAAGATGCTTAAATATACATACCAATAGTGAGTGCACACAAGGATACTATTAGTGTGGTGAAAATTGCTGGAATCAGGTATATTAGATGATTTGGTTATTTATTTTTTGAACCTATGATGGATTTTTTGTTGGTAGTGCATCAAATTTGTGTTACAGTTTTATGTTGAGAAAAGGAGAAAAACAGTTTTACGTTTCGAACCTTTATTCTAAGTTAACAAATTTCATGTCACACCATTACCTTTCCTAGTGTTATTTTAATACAACTTTTACCTTCTAAAAAGGCCAAGTCTCACTAATTTATAGATTGTCGTTGTTGTTAATATGAACTCTTGATGAATTATATTTATACTTTATCAACTTAAAAAATTTGTACAAGATTTTATAGAATACTTACTTGGAACTAGAAATCACTTCTACAGAAGTCGAAAGGCGTACCAATTGTTCTTTCATTATATCAGTCAACCTTTGTCTTAGAAGGTTTGTTTTTTCCCCACCCTCTTGAGATGAATCATCAGATTGGAGGCCTATGACAAACTGCTTCCTGCAACTATTTCTTTATGCGTCCATTGTTTGCTTTTCTTCTTTCTCCTTTCATGGGATCGGTATTTCTCACTTGGGCCGATTCCATACTGCAAAACTGTTCTAACAAAGTCTAACATGAGCACTACATCATCTTGCACGTCTACCGTGGAAAATGTATAATGTCACATTATTTCATATTTCAAGTCAATATTTCATATTAATTGATTTTTGTAGTTACTTCAAGCTAATTAATATGTCAAGTCAAGTCTCTATGTTCGCGAAAAATACTAAAAAAGTCAGGTATTTGTGTGGTAATATTGCAGCATACGACCTTTACCTTGGTTGTGATAATTATAATGAATCTAGATTTTTCGTATACGTATAGGGCTAATTTTTCAAATTATTATATGCAATATCCTTTAATATTACATTGAGGGTGTGGTCTAGTGGCGACGAAGTGTATTGAGAACCATTAGATCTCGAGGTAAAAATCTAGTAGATCAGCTGTGGAGCTGGGTATATCTGTTTGATTGAACATGGTTCATTCCGAGCAGTTGATATTTGGCATAATTTCTCCATGTTATTCCTTTATAACTTAAAGGGTACCCCGATGTACAAAGCATCCCAAGTTAGCTGGGTTTGTAGAAGGGACGCACCCAAGAGGTGTGATGTAGATGCTAGCATTAGTAACTGCTTCCATGGCTAGAATCTACCTACACGGAGACAATTTTACCGTTTGTCCAAGGTTCCCCTTCATTTATTTCATTGTAAGTCATTTAGTTCTTTCCATGTTAAAAATCTTTCTTCACTTAAATTTATCTTTTCATCCACTTCATGGAAGAGACTGTGTCAATGACTAATGGGAGATTCTACTCAATGTCATGTTTGTTCAATTTGTTTCTCTCTAACGGTGAAGTTTATAGAAAATCAAAAGTACAACATTAACTTATTATGTGAAGTTTTGATATTCTTCAGATCAATTGCATAGTCTAATTTATCAATAGTAGAAAACTACAAAAGTTTTTAGTCTTCATACACAATCAAATTTCATATGCAGTACAAAATTACAAAAGTATTTTTTAGTCTTCAAACAGAATTGAATTTATTTATAGATTATCACATGAATATAATTTTCTTTTCAAATAACTTTCCAACTATAACATTTTGACATCGTATTTTATCAAATAAAAATGTGCATCTCTCATTCTGCAAATTTTAATGACAATACTTTTTATCAATAAAATTTCATTCAAATATGGTTTGCAGATATTTTTCCAAAGACATTCATGATAAATATCAAAACTGATAACTTTTAGAAACTATTTTTCTCCTTAGATAAATAATAAGAAAGTTACCTGCTGTAATCTTTAATTGAAATACCAAAAATTATTCTAGTACATTTTCACATTGACCTTCCAAAACAAAGCACAAAATTCTCGAGAAGTAATACATTAATCGTCTACTTCTATGATATGTTTCCCTCAATCAACAAAATACAAGAACTGCCAACAATATAATATTTACGTAAGATTGTTGTTCGTTGCTTCTTGTATTCCTAGGATACTTAGAGTTGTTCATCTTGTATTCCTAAGATACTTAGAAAAAAAAACTTTGAAGAACTTGATAAGAAACAACAAATTTTAAAGAGTATTTTCAAAACTAGAAAATTAAACTAGTAGAGAAAATAGAACAAAAAAATTATGAAACAATATAGAAAATATTTTTTCTTAAAGAAGAAAATTGAGTCCTCTGAATGCAGAGTGTCCCCTTAAGGAAATTATTCTCCTCAAGAACACGAGGTTTATGGAATATATCCTCCCAGGATAGAACGATCTTATTCAGCAGTATATGGATCATAAAACCACGATGCTATCGAACTACTCAACGGCAGTAAAGTACACTTAAAATACTAGATTTAGTAGTAGTACAAGAAGTCAAGAAAATTATGTTCTTAAAATGAGAGGAAATCCTTAAATTTATAGAATACAAAGGATACTGTGAAATGGTTCTTATTGTGCTTTACTAGAAAAGGTCACAATCTTTTGGCAAGGTCACCATCATTCATAAAAGTCACAACTTTTCATAAAAATCACAACTTTTCCTAAAAGTCACAATTTTTCATAAAAGTCGCAACTTCTCATCAAAGTCGCAACTCTTCATAAAAGTCGCAACTCTTCATTTTCCGTTCACATCTTTTAAAACCCAACAAAAGTACTTCTATAGAAGTCGAAAGGGTGCACTAGTTGTTCTTTCCTTTGTTCAACATCTTGATATCGAATTCCAACTCCAAAAACTTTGCTTTACTAGTTGGCTCTTAATTATTGAAAAAAAAGAACTAGAAGACTATCGACAAAAGCGAAAAAAGAAAGAGAGAGACAAAAAGAAAAGGATGTGAATTGTGAGAAAAGATTTTATGTCCTTCAACTATTCAACCAAGTTATCCTCAAAAGGTCAAATTATCTCCTCTGTGCACGGTGTGCATGGGTGCAAACTATTCCACATGATATTCCTCATATATTTCATGTGACGGAGCTTTATCTAATTTCTTGTCTTGCGGAGTTTCTATGCTTTTACTTCTGCAGTTTTATTCTTTATCAGTCTCCTAATGCTATCTTTTCCAATGCGCGTCATGGAACTCTTCCTCATACCCATGTAGAATTCTGACTATTATTCTAATAATTTCCTCCCTATAAGCCTCTAAGACTTCACGATCGTCATATCAATCTGGCATAAGGAACTTATAAATGGATTGAAGTAGCTAATCTTCTGCTCGAATTTTTTTTCTTTTCTAACAAGTCTGTTATAAATCAACCTTTGTCTTAGCATCCCCATCATGTTTGTTTTTTCCAGTTCCATCCTATTGAGATGAATCATCATATTTGAGGCCTATGACAAACTGCTTCCAGCATCTATTTCTTTATATGTCCATTGGTTGTTTCTCTTCTTTCACCTTTCATGGGATCAATCTTGCTCACTCGGGCAAATTTCGTACTACAAAACTGTTCTGACAAAGTCTAACATGAGAACTTACGTAACCAATGTGTACTGTCACGCTAGTATATCTGTTAAGTCAAGTCTCTATGTTACCAAAATATTCTAAAAGTCAGGTATTAGTGTTGTAAGAGTGGAGCATACGATCTTTACCTTGACTGTTATAGTTGTAATGCATCTAGATTTGTCTAATACATATAGGGTTAATTGTTCAAATTGTTGTATGCAATATCCTTAATAGAACATTGAGGGTGCGTCCTAGTAGCAATGAAGTGTATTAAGAACCATTAGATCTCAAGGTGAAAATCTAGCAGATCAGCTGAGGAGCTGGGTATCTCTGTTTGATTGAATGTGGGTTGTTCCGAGCAGTAGTGAAGGACATCCCGGTATAAAAAGCATCCGACATTAGTTGGGTTCGTAGAAGGGACGCACCCCAAGAGGTGTGATGTAGATGCTAGCTTTAGTGGCTGCTGCAATGGCTGGAACCTGTGACCTAGACAATTTTACCATTTCTCTGAGGTTCCCATCCAGTTATTCCATTGTAAATGAAAATAATGAAATATTGTTGCTTGTCATTTAGTTCTTCCACTGTTGAAAATCTTTCTTCACTTAAATTTATGATTTCATCTAATAATGAGAGATTCTACTCAATGCCATGTTTTGAAGTGTTTTGCTTGCTGCCACAGAGATTCCAGAAATGTGAATATGCAAAATCTAAGTTGTTCAGGACTGAAGGGCGTGGTTGGGGTCTTTCAGCTGATGAGAATATAAAGGTAATTCTACTGAAGCAGCCAAGTTATTACTTATTCGTAATTACTATTTTCTCTTGAATTTATCGGAAGCCTTTGAGAAGTAACTATTTTCTCTTAAATATTCTTAATTACTATTTTCTATCGATTATCAACCAATTCTTCCTCTCTGTTTACATTGTTAGGCTGGACAGTTCATCATGGAATACTGTGGAGAAGTGCTATCATCTGAAGCAGCAAAGAAAAGGTGTCTGGCTTATGAAGCTCATAGTAAGTTATTGACAATAGAGATAGTTATCAATGCATCTACAGATCGATCACTACTATATAATTTCATATGATTTGTGCAGAAATCAAGGACGCATACATCATGTCACTGAACGCGAATTATTTCATTGATGCTACCAAGAAGGGAAGTCTAGCAAGATTCATTAATCATTCATGGTGAGTTATGAAATTTCAGTTATTGAAATGGTGAAAAGTGAATTAAGTCCGTTAACTGATGTTGATTGATAGTACTGACGACACAATGTGTTCCTGAATTTTTCAGCCAACCAAATTGTGAAACAAGGAAATGGATAGTGTTAGGGGAAACAAGGGTAGGAATATTTGCAAAGAGAGATATATCCGTTGGAATGGAGCTTTCATATAACTATAACTTTGAGTGGTATGGTGGTGCACCTGTTCATTGTCTGTGTGGAGCTGCAAACTGTTCTCTTTTTTTGGGTGCCAAATCTCAAGGATCTAGGGTAACTTAACTTTCGTGTGAATTGTTATATCTAGAATGTGCTTTATAGAGACATTTCACTTGTTCCTTTTTTCCAGAATTAGACAATAAACAGATTAATGTTTTATGATAGATGCTTCTAAATTCGATATGAGTCTGTCAATCCCATTTCTTATTCTTTTTTCCCCTTTTTTTTATCTTGGCAGTTGGCTCAGGAGTGTAGCACTGTCTTGGAAGAAGGGAATAACAGGTAATAATTGTTCATTTTACTTGATTACTGATTCCATGACAACCTCAGTGAGATATATAAATGTGACAGGCAACGGCTTAGTAATAGATCTTCTCATAAGCCAAAGTATGAGAAGAGTTGCTCCTCCCTTATTCTTACTCCCACTTCTTTTGTCTGTCAATTAATAGATAGGCCGAAAATAATAATTCAGGACAAAATGAACTGAAGTTCCCTTACTTGACTTGCCGACGATTGATTGGTCAAACCAATAGTCAGGTTCATTTGACAGCACCACGTCCAGGATCATAGGAATGGGAAAGCTTAAATGCTATCATATGGAATTGTCTTGCTCCTCACTGCTCTATAATTAACTATAGTGATATTATGTTTCATATATAGTAGCTATCCTTTCGTTTTACTCCTTGTAAGAAACATGTAATAGTTAATGAAGTGAGGAATTTCTATGATGTTTCGGGTTCATATCCTAGTGGAGACAACAAAAATAGGTGATGCCTTTTCATGTGTCCAAGCCTTGGTTGATAGAGTTAACCAATACATGTGTTAAATATTTATTTCAATCTGCCTTTCTTACTGCAGACATATCGTAGAGAATCTTCCACTTTATGATGATGAATCTTCTCCAGTGATCTCTGGAACTAGTGGAGGAAATGAGCACACAAAGATATTGAATGACGGTGAGGGGTCTACGTTCCAGTTGGAACCAACTAATAGCGCAACCAAAAAGAAGTATCAGCACAAACCCAAGTTGAAGGTCACATATCTCATTCTTACTTTTATTCCATGTACTTTCACAGTATTGTATTCTTCAGTTGATTGTGTTTCTTTGATCCTTAACAGCGATTAAAAAACTGGTGATCCGGGTTGGAAATATAGGAAAGGAGCAGGTTGAGTGTAACCTTTGGTAAAAAAGTTTAACTTGAAGGGACGTCTCACCATGTGAACAATTCCATGATGTTGTAAGGGAAGAAATAAAAAGATATGTTGATGAAAAAAAAGGAATGAAAAGGCCAGGCATAGCTAGTTGATGAAGCTGAGGAACATAATGATGAACAATATAATGATAACAGTGCAATACAAGATTCTGATGATCTTATAGAAGTAAAGCTTTAGAACAATGAGAAATAGATATTGAACCATTATAAATTTGATTTGTTTTTGTCCTATGGTCTGTGGAGGATTTTGTAATAACTACCTTTCAACTTTTAGTGTGAACTTTTTCTTGTATTTATTGTCTCCGTTTATTTTGCAGATTTTTTGTTGCGTCTGAATTATCAGTGGAGCAAATATACCCTTTAGTTTGGTGGAATTCTCATTTATACAAATTTATTTCCTTGTATTGTCACAATCAAATTTAGGATCATGAACAGTGCTTAGGAGCTAGTGTTCCAAGCAATTCATATAGGTATTTTAGAGAAAAGGAATAATACTCATTACATTAATAAAAAGGATTAATGTCACTACTCTAAGAGTTCTAAAATAAAAGGATGTTAGCAACGAGCTAACTTGAGGATGCTCACAGTGCAAATAAAAGGTAAAAGAAACTTTTTGTAGAGTTTTGATCCAAACACAAGATAAGATAGCAAACAATGAACCAAACACTTAACATAAAATAAGTCATTCATTGTTGATTCTGCACTACTAATTCCTGCATTACTTGCATTACTAAGCACAATGTTACTAATCTTTGTACCAAACAACCCCTAAATATTTTCTTTCTGATCCCCATAAGACTTTTATCTTATTCAAACTGTGAGCATCCCCGGTCCGATTTGCTAGACCTTGTCCGAAGTTTCTTGTAGCAAGTCTAGTCCAAAGAGATTAGCCTCACCAAGTTCAAACTTTTTGATAAAAGAATGACAATGCCTATCATACAAGATTTGTTTTACCCCTTTTTGGTCTATGTAAAGCCTAGAAAATAGTGCCACGTAGGTTGAAAAATGGTTAGAAAATTATTTATAAAATATGTTAAGGGGGGTAATAAGACCTTAATTAGTATAGTATAAATGTGTCAGTGAGATTTCGAGCATAGGTTGAGGGTACTTAAGCATTTTTTCAATTTCCAGATTATTATATTCTTTTCAAAAATGACTATTTCATTTTTTAACTTGTTTCAAGTTCTTTGTTTCATTATACATAAATTTATGAATCAAAATCAACTAGATACATTAAAAATATGAACGTCGGATGGAGAACGGTATTTAGCAACATGTTTTACTTTTCTCCATTTTTTGTATCACAAAATGATGAACAATAATATTTTTTTTAAAAAAAAATGTACCGTAAGGAGAGATTTTGTAGATCTAACTTTTCTACATTGTTTAGTGTGTGTGTGTGGGTGGGGGGGGGGGGGTCACAGTCACTTTAGAAAATGAATGTACATCCTTCATCGACTTCTACTTCTCAAAATTATGATTCGCCATTGATAATGGATTAGGAAATCGTTTCGCTTTATTTTCAATCCAATAATAATTGTAAGAATCATAAACACAATCAATATTAGGTGATAACCAGGTAATTTCAACACTAAAATAAGGAGCATCGTCTATAAGTATCTGGACATTGAAGACATAAAATAAAAATAAAAAGGCCAGAAAAAAATATAGAACTACAAGTTGGTGAAGAAAAAAAATTATTACTCGGAAATTATAAATCGATTGAGTGGAGAGAGAAAAATGAAATTCAAAATTGTAACGAAGTCAGTAATTATTGAGATTAAGGAAGTGAAAATAAGAATATATTGATGGAGTGAAAGCAGGAAGAGAGAAATGACATTTGTGAGTTGAGAAGCTATGTATTCGGATGAATGGAGTTTCTGAGGAGAAAGAGAAATTATTATAATATTTTAAAATGGTAAAGAATAAAAAAAAACACGGTTAATAAGGACTTGTAGATAAGTAATTTTTGCAATCATTATTATTATTATTAGGAAAAAATTACTCAACTACACATCATTTGTTATCATATTTTCTTATTTTCTCAACCATTTAAAAAATATCAAATATCCCTTCTTTTCCTTCCATCATTCCCTTTTTCTCGATACATTAAATTTAAAATTACATATCAATGATTTTCCTTCCTTTTTTCACGCTATAAACATCTCAATAATTACATCACATAATCTATTTTTGAATTTAAAATATTTTCTATTTTCCATTAATGATTTCAAGTAATTCAAGAGGTATATTTAGTTCCATCACTTCAATTTCCGATCTTTTTTTATAATATTTTTTATATTTTTTTCATCTTAAAAAAAATTACCTCCACCCGTGCCCCCATTGAAATATTATTGAACCTTTGCAATTTTAGTTAACCATATCATTGTTGAATTTTTTTCTTGAAAATATTTATTTTCTTTTAATGTATATACTATTTAAAAACGTCCAAAAGAAGAAGAAAATAGTTGGATCTGCCATTGCACACCATCACTATCAAAGATATAGATTGTTAATGTATTTTTTTTTAGTCTTAAATTAGTCTTTGTCAGTACTTTCATTGATCTGATACATTACTGCTACACTAATCTTTGTTTTATACAATGTATAATGTTCATATTTAAGGTATTGATACATAACTCTAATGTTTTTGAATCTACGATTAGTGTTGCTCATGTTTCGTATAAATGTAAGTGATACATAAACTTTGTGTTATGCAACACATAAAAAAGAAGAAGCTATTTTTGGACAATTACATGTATAATGTATTTTTAAAAATTTTAAAATATAGTATTTCTCAAACAAAATAATATGAATAAATAATAATGTATCATGCGCTAATTTTCTAGTTATGGTACACTAATTCGAATTTATACTAAATATATTTGATAGTTATCAAACAATATTATATCAATCTAAAATTATGTAAAATTAAATGTGCAATACTTTCTTATTTAATATATCTAGTAGAAATACAACACTTATCAATATAAATTGAAAGGATATTCATGGTGTATGTCTTCTCAAAATTTTAATTAATTTTGAATCAAATTAAAAGAATCTTTAATGAACTAGGAGAATAATTTCAAACTCAATTTTTCAACAATTTTGAATCAAATCTGTAAGGATATTCAAATTTTTTGACAATTTGAATTAAAACTGAAACTCACCTCGTATTCTTCATAACTCACCTCGCTTATTCAAAATTTTGATAAAATCGTTTATGAAACTATTAAAAACGATGAAAAATAAAAAGAAATTTAATTTTTTAAAATTTTGGTTTGTTACACTATATGATTGAATTTTGGACAACAATTTGAAATGAAATAATACAATTTATAGGACATTAATTTGATTTTATGTTTTTCTCCCTCAATTAGTGCAACAAATGGATACTATGAGATCTTAATTTGATTTTTCAATTTTTTTCGTTAATAAGTGCAACAAAAAGATACATAATGTATAAACAATAATGTATCCAGATCCTTAATTATATATCGGGAATTCCTAAAACGTGAGATTTGTGTAATTAGAAAAATAACAAGAATAAAAGGTAATCTTAGGATTTACCCAATGAAATTTATGTAAGTTATACTTATTATTATAGTTTAGTAAGAGTCTAAATCTTACCTAATCCTTTATGGTCTTTGTTAATCTGTAACACCCCCTATCAAAAACAGATCAAAAACCAGCTTTATAGAAAACAAATCGGCTGGTGCAACCAACGGTTGCATCGATGGACCGTAGCCTGACCCACGGTCCGTCTGGCACAACCGTGGATGGGATCAGAAACTCCCTAAAGTTTCAGCCTAGAAAAATTTGTAAAGTCTTGGACGACAGATTGACTTACGATCCGTAGTACGTGACCGTCGATCAATACTCCCTTCACCAACTCTCTGACAAGAGATACGGATGACCAGCACGGTCCATAGGTGGAAAATTTGCAGACAGTTAAGGAGAAATGCAGTTTAGTCAACTTCAAATGGTCATAACTTTTACCACAAACCTAATTAGGTGTCTCATGACCTATGCATAGATACATAATTGAATTATCTTTCTATTTCCACCAACCTTGTAAAAATCTGGCCTCCGAGTAAAACTTTATGCCCATTTTAGTAAAGGTCTATTGAACAGACCCAATCGACGGACCCAACGACGGGGCGTCGGTCAAATGGCTGACCGTCTGTCCTGGTCGTCGTTTGTTCCTACAACAACTTTCCCAGGGGTCTTTTTGACCTTTCCCACTTCACTTAAACCATAAGATAAGTCATTTTAACCATAAATCATCAGATTTTAGTCAGTTTAAGCCTAGAAACATAACTAAAACATATCTAAGTCAAAACACTAAATAAAAACTTCGAAAATTAGAAGCAAGAGAGGAGAGAAGGCTCAAGAACTCTAGTTCAAGAACACAAGAAGTTTCAGTTGTTCCAGCCCCGAAACTTAAGTTTTATTCCGTGAATTTCATCACCATCTATGAGGGTTTTCACTAGTGGGTTCTTTCAACCCATTAGGTCTCTTGTTTTCAGTCAGATTTTTGATTCCTATATCATGATTAGATCTAGGGTTTCTAGAACTTCAAGTGAACTTCATGAACTTACTAGTTATATGTTCCAAATGAGATTATCATGTTATTATTCAGTTTATTGCATGAATATCAGACCCAAGCTATGTATTTCTTTAGTTCTAGAATTACACAGGCTAGGTCAGATATTTTAGACATTTCAGATATACATGCCTCAGTTATAAATGCATAATTACCAGATTAATTGTTGCATTCTCAGTTTGCATGTTCAGTTTTGAGTTATCGAGTATTTACAAAAACTCAAACATAATCAATAAATATACATAATTAATTGGAAGTAGAATGATACCGAGTTGGACTAGGGTTTAGCGTACCCAATAATCGCCG